AAAAAAAAGAGGAAGAAAAATTAAACAACAAAAATAACCACATTGGCCAGTAACCTTTTCCTGCCAAGCTGAAGAAAGATTGTCAAGTAAATAAACCCCCAACGCGAAGTAGGGTAGCAATAGAAAGGATCACTGTAATAACATGTATTGAGCGCCTACTGTGTGCTGGCTCTGAGCTGTGCACTCCAGCCCCCTCCCCAGCCCTCTTCCCTGATTTATTTTTCTCCATAGCACCTACTGCCACCTGACCCATGACCCTGAAGCCTTTACCCTCCATGAGAGCAGGAGTCTTGCTGACTCGTCACTGCTGTAGGATGGCCATCAGCATTTGTGTGGACGACACGTTCTCATCCAGCCCTGGTGACAGCCGTATGAGCCAAGTACTGGGACTGTTCCCATTCTATAGATGGGGACACTGAGACCCACAGAAGTCAAGTCACTTGCTCGCGGTCACTGAGCTAGTTAGTGACAGAGCGGAGATGGGAGCCCAGAGGGTGGGCCTCCAGGGCCCGAGTGCTAAACCGAGATCCCTCAGGCCTGTTCACTAAATGTGGGAGGAAGAGAGAAAGTGGTTTCCTGAGCCCCGATAGGGATGCCCAGCCAACAGCAGGTCTTACCCTGTCTTAATCATGCTCTCTGTGCGACCCTGAACCGAAGTGTTTTCTTCTGTAAAATGAGACCATCTTAGTATCTATTTCACAGGGTTGTTGGGAGGATTTAAAGAGATAATCCTTGTAGAGGGCACCTGGCATATAGTAGTGTTTATTACATGTTAGTTACCTCTGTTGCTTCCCTGGGAATCTGGAAAGTTCCATCCCTTCCTCATTCATTCCATGGCCAGGTAATTCTTTTTTTGTTTTTTTTCTTTCCAATTATTTTATTGAGGTCATAATGGTTTATAGCGTTGTGTGATTTCAGGTGTACATGACTATCAGTTTCTGTATAGACTGCATTGTACTCACCACCAATAGTCTAATTTTTATCCATCACCATATATAAGTGCCCCTTCCCCTCTGGTAACCACTAATCTGTTCTCTCGGTCCATGCGTTAGTTTATCTTCCACATAGGAGTGAAATAATGCAGTGTTTGTCTTTCTCTGTCTGGCTTATTTCGCTTAACATAATACCCTCAAGGTCCATCCGTGTTGTTGCAAATGGGACGATTTTGTCTTTTTTATGGCTGAGTAGTATTCCATTGTATATATATATACCACATCTTCTTTATCCACTCATCCATTGATGGGCACTTGGGTTGCTTCCACGTCTTGGCTATTGTGAATAATGCTGCAATGAACATAGGGGTGCATAAATCTCTTTGAATTGTAGATTTTATGTTCTTTGGATAAATACCCAGCAGTGGAATGGCTGGATCATATAGTATTTCTCTTTTTAACTTTTTGAGGACTCTCCATACTGTCTTCCATAGTGGCTGCACCAGTTTGCATTCCCACCAGCAGCATATGAGGGTTCCCTTTTCTCCACATCCTCTCCAACACTTGTTATTTTTTGTCTTGGTAATTATAGCCTGGCCAAGTAATTCTAGAAGGCCTACTGTACTCCAGACCCTGCTGGATATGGGGGATCATTTTGCCTTTTTGACAGACTCTCCTGCTTGAGAGTCACTTCCTCCAGGGAGCACTCCCTGACTCCCTCGGGCTGAGCAACCTGCCACCACAGGACTCCTATGCCCTATCCTATCATCATTAGCCCTCACTTCATTCTGGACTGACCTCCCTGAAGACAGGACCTCAATCTGTCTGTTCCCCTCTGGGTCTTGAGCACCCAGCTCAGGGCCCAGCACACGCTGGGTGCCTGATCAATATCTGACAATGGTGCTTAGAGGACAGGATAATTGACTGAATGTTTGCCCTTTCCTCCCCACAGAACGACTTTCTCACTGGTGTGTTCCCCGCCAGCCCCCTCAGCTGGCTCTTCCTCTTCAGTGCAATCCAGCTCGCCTGGTTCCTCCAGCTGGATCCTTCCCTAGGACTGATGGAGAAGATCAAAGAGTTGCTGCCAGACTGGTGAGGTCCCCCATTTCAGCCCAATAACCTCCCTAATCCCTTTCCCTGCACCCAGTAAGTTTCTCTATCAGTGTGGTGTGCCTGCCAAAGAAAAGTAACCTCTGAGACTTACTTTGGGACAGATTAATAAAGATACAGCATCAATAAAAAGGAGGTGATTTTCTCTCTTCTCTCTGCACATTTTCCATCCTGGCTGCTTCTTGCTAAGAGGGATAGTGACAAACTAGAAAATGTCCATATATGGTTATATATACTAACAAAAGTATGAGATTGGCTAGTCTCCAGTTGTGTAGTCTCAGGCAAGAGAATTTACCATTCTTGGTGTCATGGTCTTCATCTGTAAAATGGGGGTAATAATAATTGCTTCTTAGAGTGGTTGGAAGAATGAAACAAAATCGTGCCTGTGGCATATTCAGTCCAGTGCCAGAAGGTTATTAAATGGGAGTAGCTGAATTATTATAATTGTTGCTGTCATCTTTGGGAAAGGTTTGGAAGCCAGATGTGGGTGAAGTGGCAGGTTCTAACCCTTAGGTTAGTCCTCCTGGGGAGAAGGTTCAGGTTTTGTGCAGACAGCCCCAAAAAGCAGATCCAGGATCGGAGGTAGAAATTTCCAGGACGCCAGATTTACTCAGTCTACAGAGGGGATGTGACTTGCCCCAAGTCCTCCAGGTAGGATTTGCCCACGTCTGTCTGACTGCAACTTTGCAAACGTGTAGATTCACTGTGGCTTTAGACCAGCATCTCCTAGACTTGAGTTTGTAGTGGAAACACCTGGAAGGCTTGTTAAAACACTGATTGCTGGGCTGCACCCCAAGAGATTCCATCTTAGTAGGGCTGGGTGGGGCCCAGGAATCTGCATTTCCAACAAGCTCACAGGTGGTGCTGATGCTGGCTGGTCCAAGGGCCACACTTTGAGAACCACTGCCTTAGAATATAATTTGATATCTGGGAGGGAGGAGTGTCCCTTCAATAGAAATACCAGCTCCCACTTATTAAGCACCTAACCACTTTCAATTTCCAGGAGAAGTGGTTTTAGAAGCGTGGTGTCCCCACAGTCCTAGGGGGAGGAGGGTGCTGCGAGAGGACCACGCCTACTTTACAAGTGAGGAAAGTGGATTTCTCTGACTGACTCTAATTCTACAAGATATGCCTCCAACAGCCAAAAGACCAGGGTCAGAGAATATTAGGAAGGGCAGAGCTGGGTGGGGCTGGAGGAGAGGCGGGCCTGAGGCCAGGACACCCAGGCCCATTCTCTCTCTCTCTCCCACAGGGGTGGACAGCACCACAGGCTCCGGGGGGTCCTGGCGGCCGCGCTGTTTGCTTCTTGTCTGTGGGGAGCCCTGATCTTCACACTTCACATCGCCCTGAGGCTGCTTCTATCCTACCACGGCTGGCTCCTCGAACCCCACGGAGCCATGTCCTCACCCACCAAGACCTGGCTGGTACGTGAGGGGCGGAGCCCTGCTCAGGTCCTCCTGGGACCCACTTCTTTGTCCCCCTCTCTCTGGGTCTCTGTCCCCCTCGTTCTCTGAGTCTCTGTCCCTTTCTCTCTCTGGGTCTCTGTCCCTCTCTTTGGATCTCCATCCCATTCTCTCTGTGGGTTGCTACGCACCCCCCACCCCACCCTGGTCCCCGGCCCCTGTGAGGGGTTTGATGACCCACTAATTCTCGCTTCCCCCCAGGCCCTGGTCCGCATCTTCTCCGGCCGCCACCCGATGCTCTTCAGTTACCAGCGCTCCCTGCCGCGCCAGCCGGTGCCCGCTGTGCAGGACACTGTGCGCAAGGTGGGCCAGGTACCCCGGGAGGGGGCGGGAGGCGGCCCGGGGCGGGCGGGGGGCGTGACCCACCCTCTTCTCCGCCTTGCCCCTCAGTACCTGGAGTCCGTCCGGCCCGTCCTCTCCGACGAAGACTTCGACTGGACGGCGGGCCTCGCGCAGGAATTCCTGAAGTTGCAGGCGTCGCTGCTGCAGTGGTACCTGCGCCTCAAGTCCTGGTGGGCGTCCAATTACGTGAGTCCCCCACCCTGGACGCAAAGGTTCTGAGCCCGCCCTCCTCGCTCCGCGCGTCTACACCCCGCCCCCAGGACACGCCCACAGCCCCCAGGCCCTACGGTGATTGGAGCCTCGCCCCAGACGTGAGAGCATCCCGAGCCCCGCCCCCGCGCTCACTATTCCAGGCCCCGCCCACAGGCTCACTATTCCGGGCCCCGCCCCCGCGCTCACTATTCC